GAGAGAATCCAAATATATATCACTGACAAGTGATTTTTGGACTTCTTGTGGCAAACATGGATATTTGGGAGTAACTTGTCATTGGATTTCTAATGAATATCAACCACAGGAAGCTTTGTTGTCATTGGTTCACATCCCATATCCACATACATCCGAAGTTATTTGTCAGAAATTACGAGAGATAATTTTTTCGTGGAAGTTAGAAGAAAAGATTGTCTGTATAACCACAGACAGTGGTTCCAATTTTATTAAAGCAGTCAGGCTTTTACAAAGAGTTTTTTTTTGATCTCAAGCGTGTTTCATGCAATGCATACACCTTGAATCTAGTAGTTAGGAAATCACTGAAAATTAATACAGCTATCCAAAAATTCATTTTAAGAGTCAAAAGGTTAACCAAATTTTTTTCATCTCCTAAACGATGTGAGATATTAGAAAAAGAACAAGAAAATTTGAATTACCCAAAAATTTATAAAATAATCAATGATGTCTGTACTAGGTGGAACTCTGCCTATTATTCGTGGCAACGATTGATCCTTCTCAAAGATGCAATAACTCATTTACCTAGCAGATATCGGTCAGATCAAAATAAAGAAGTAAGGAAAGAAGCAAATAAATTGGAAAGAATTTTGTTGAGTGAATCAGAATGGATTTTGATGAATGATCTGGTAGTTGTTTTGAAAGATTTTGAAGAAATTACTAGAAAATTAAGTGGGGCCACATACATTACCTTTTCCTTAATTTATCCATCAATATATACACTAATTAAAAAACTCCAAGAAATGTTACCAGAATCATCCCATCTCTCAATAGATAATGAATTTGAAGATAGTAGTGAACAATTGCAATTGGATGAACAAGAGGATGTATTTAATATTCAAGACATTTTAGAAGATGAAGAGGCTGATGAAATATTAATTCTTGACTCAAATACCAAAAAAAAAATAAACATTTCTAGTTCTATAGAAACAGATGGATTGAAGGATCTTATTATAGAAGCATTGTTGATTTATTTAAAAAAATATTGGGATGCACCTTCTGATTTGTCAATGGTTGCCACAATACTTGATCCAAGGCTTAAAAAACTATCTATTTTTGAAGAAAAAGATGTAAAAACCACTATATTTAATTTAAAGGAGGAGTATGAAATATCGTGTAGTAATAATTTGCAAAATGAAGCTTGTGAAGATTCTGAATCATTAATTGATTTGAGAAACAATGATGCATTTGGATCATCAATTTTTAGTCAAATATTACCAGCAGATGATGAAAACGATGATAATAATGATGAAATAACATGTTACTTGGCTACTAAAGTTAAAAATGATATAAATCCATTAGATTGGTGGAAAGATAATGAAAAAAGTTTTCCAACATTATCATTGTTGGCAAAAAAATATTTTTGTGTTCCTGCTACCTCAACTCCATCAGAACGGTTGTTCAGTGATGTTGGGAATTGTATAACATCAAAAAGGACTAATTTGAAACCAGACCGTGTTGGAAAAATGATGTTTTTGAAAAGAAACATGAAATTTTTATCATGATTAGTTTTTTTGGGAATCAAAAGGTAATGTTTTAGAGCATTTAGAGGAAGTGTCTGTTTGAAGATTATTTTCATTCAAGGTGTTTTTGTTGGTGGTTGGTTTTAAATGTTGAATTTTGATTTAGGGGTTATATTTTTTTAAAAAAATAATAATCAAATTTTGTCAATTAAATAATAAATTTTAGTTGAAACATTTACAATATTTTAGTTATTTGAAATATTTTATGACTATTTGAAATATTCAAAATACTTATGTTTATTCAAAATACTTATGATTATTCAAAATACTTATGGTTATTCAAAATACTTATGGTTATTCAAAATACTTATGACTATTCGAAACACTTATGACTATTTGAAATACTTATGACTATTTGAAACATTTACAACTAATTGAAATACTTATGGTTATTCGAAAGACTTATGACTATTCAAAATACTTATGATTATTTGAAATACTTATGACTATTCAAAATACTTATGGTTATTTGAAACATTTACAACTATTCAAAATACTTATGATTATTCAAAATACTTATGGCTATTCAAAATACTTATGGTTATTTGAAATACTTATGATTATTTGAAATACTTATGATTATTCGAAATACTTATGATTATTCGAAATACCATCCATTACCAAAAATCATCTGATGTATTTCGAATATTCAAAATTCTTTTTAGATATTTGATTATTCGAAAAGGGGGGTTAATGATTGGAAACACTAATCTGACTGCACACCCCAATGATACAACAATGCTACAGAATTTTCAGGGGGGGGACAAGGCCCTGGAGTTTACCGAGACTGCATCAATCGTCAATGACACTTTCACTAATCTTCCCTCATAGCACCAGACCAGAGATGGCTGCTGGCATGCTGGCCGCAAAGTTGACTGCCAACAATCCTACCTCTAGATAAAAATGGCACTGTGACCAAGTCACAACTCTGCTGATGAATTGTAGTGCCATGTAAACATCAAAGCAATGAGAACCTGCAACTCGTTTCAAGCACAGGAGGTCACAATTCAGAGCAGGGTTTGTGGCCCCTGAAATTGAATTTGGGCTCTGATGTTAAGAGGAAAGTTGTAAAATAGTTTTTGTTTTGTATAATCATTTTCCTAAATGCTCTGTTTTTCTTTAATTTGTTTTTTGAATGGGGGTAGGGTTGTTGGTAAGTAAGCATGCCACCGACAAGACAGCAACCCAGGACTCAAAACTCTGAATTCAGGGAAAATCCAAAATAGCAACCCAGGTTGTAACCTCCCAAGTTGCAGGATTTTGAATCAGTCTTAACACCAACTTTATTCTAAAGAGGTATAACACAAATCATCACACAAGCACCAGCTATCAGTGATCAATGCCCATATGGAAACAGACAAGCCTGTTTTGAGAGGAAGATAGGGAATGTTTTATCCAAAGCCTTCCAACGTGTGGGGGCCTCCACTATGGAAAGAAAAATTCCACAATTATGGAGGTGTGTGAAAGCACCCAACCATATGTTGGTGACAGGAAATTTTTATTAAATCTGACACCTGTGATCAACATCAGATTTATCGTTCATAAGGAACCATGATTGATAATCATGAAGAATAATTTATTATTGTGAACCCCAGAGATCTGGGTAGACATGCATTATTAAAAGTTTCATTTTTGCATGGCCTTGGTAT